GGAACATCTTTCTACATCTGATGGTGGAACATCTTTCTACATGATGGAGGAACATCTTTCTCCAAAGCGGTGCAGATGTTATTTTTCAGTGAAACATGAGCCACAGTGAGGAACCATGTGAGGGACTAAACGCCGGTCCAGAGGGTTAAATGGAAGCTAACAGCGCTTGGTTGAGAATCACAGTCGTCTTGGCGACGCTGGAAGCTGCGTGTGGACTGATTCCAACCAGCTGCGATGCATCGCTGCGTCGTCACGGTACCGATGCAGCAGCAGCTGATTACAGGTGATGCTGTAAAACCGTCACCGCTAAGAGGCAGACACACACAGAGCAGGAGGCTGACGGGACTCAACACAAAGCAAACGATGTGCGCGGCGGCGGCGGCTGCACACATCGACCGAGCTGCTGCGACGCGCCCACACCTGCACACACCTGCACACACCTGTTCCTACAACCAGCCGAGGCTGCTACGCGTCGCCGGGACTCTGTAATCAGCCTCGACATCCAACAAGAAACCGTGCCAAAGAAAAGCAGAAGATAACGTACGAGGTGCACAACAAAGGAGGAGATACGATTCTGTCTGTGCAGCCAGAGAATCGTATCAGGCCGAGGAGAGCCACGGCTGTGGACAGAAATCAAAACACTTCCACTAAATGTGAGGCTGTTTGGACGACGACATCTCAGGAAGTACTGAAGATAACAAGAGTTCTGTTGTTCTCATCATGTCACTGATTCAGGATCTGTCATATCAGATCAATAAACTCTGATCATAGCTGAGTTTAAATATGACAGTTCATCTCTGAGCTCATGAACAAAACAATGAATCAGAACCAGAGACGTGTTCTGACCCACACGTAGCTGCAGGTCACAGCAACACTGAACTAAACCTACAAGATAGTTTAATGGGAAATATTTGGGCACAAAAAAGAAAAAAAGTGTTGAAGTTCACAACTGATGAAGCAGATGTGACGAGCTGTAGCTCAGAAACAGAACCAGTGGGAGAAGATCTGGTCCAAGCTGAGCAGCGTTCTGGAGTTTCTGCATCATTTCAGGCTTTTATTTACGATACGATGAGAATTTATTGATCCCACGGCGGAACAGTAATTATTAGTTTAGACTGTCCAGTGGTATGATCTATAATCATGACACCATGAGTAGAAATGCTGCCATCACTGCACACATGAGTCAGTATCTCCTGAGGTGTCACCGTCCAGACCTGCTCTACGTCTCCCCACCAGCCAACCCAAAGCTTGTAACGCAGTCATACTCACATATTGTAAACTCTGGAGGGTTGTGGACAGAAATGAGGAGATTAGGTGGTGATGGATGAGATAAACACACAAACAAAAAGAAGGACAAATGAGACAACAATCACAACAACAAACAAAATAAATAATACAACAACAACAACAACAACAACAAACAAAATAAACAAATCAGATCTCCAGTTACAGGGTCTGACTGTTAATGAGGAGCAGCAGTTAGTCATCAGAGCAGGAAACAGAAGAGACGGGAGGCAGCAGCGTCCACTCACCCGGCTGGCCAGAGAGCTGCCTCTGGTCAGGGACCGAGAGCCGTCCGCCTGGCACCAAGGCAGCAGGAGGAGAGCAAGGAAGCAGAGGAAGGAGGGAAGGAGGGAAGGAAGGAAGGAAGGAAGGTCAGAAACGATGCTGAGATCATGTCGGAAGAAAAAGAGGAACAACTGACAGAAGCTTCAGCCTCCACTGCAGGAAGTAAACATGAGGAAAATGTGTTTTTATTACTGGAAATACTTTCATGTTTTGAAGGCAGTAGACGGTGAATAAGGTGTGAATAGATGCAGAATGCAGGTAATAAAAACATGTGACTCAGAGTCCTGCCACCTCGTCGTGTGACACTTTGATGGATGCGCTAAAGCTTCGTCACATGTTTGAAATCTTTTTTAATTTAACCTGCATTTAGCAGGAAAACGGCTAAAGAACCGTCTCACTGACATCAGCAGCATTAATTATCAGGTTACAGATATATAACAGTTTACATAAGGATTAAATAAGAACTAAGAGTCCAGCTAATGATGATTATCTCAGCGAGCCAGCGTGAGTCACAGATAACATATATACACATCTGTCAGCGGGTATTGAACAGCAGCTTGTCAGATCAGTTAAAAAAACAAAGATAAGATGTTTTCTTTAGTAATTTAACCGCACAGTAATCAGCAGCGACAGGTCAGCTGTTCGTTAGCGTTAGCTTGTTCTTCTGGTGTTTTAACGTGTACATTTGAATTCACTCAGCTGAGACCTGTAGCTCCTGTTTTCTGTGAAACCTCCGTTTAAAGCAGTTTGGTGGCTTTAAGAGACAATAAACAGGCTTCAGCTCCTCGTCACCACGTCTGACGTTTACATTTTGGGCCTGTCGGGCAAAAGCTAGAATTTAAAAATGTCCAATCAGCAGAGACGTTTAGGAGACAGTAGCAGAGAAACCAAGCTAGCTAGCGCTACAGCAAACTAATACAAAAAATATTACTAGCTTAGCATAAAGTCAGCTAGTTTGTTAGCTAGTGCTACAGCAAGGTAATACAAAAAACATTATTAGCTTAGCATAAAGTCAGCTAGTTTGTTAGCTAGTGCTACAGCAAGGTAATACAAAAAACATTATTAGCTTAGCATAAAGTCAGCTAGTTTGTTAGCTAGTGCTACAGCAAGGTAATACAAAAAATATTATTAGCTTAGCATAAAGTCAGCTAGTTTGTTAGCTAGTGCTACAACAAGCTAATATAGCCAAAACATTATTCGAGTAGCATTAAGCCAGTTAGTGTGTTAGCTAGTGCTTCAGCGAGCTAATAGAGCAAACCATTATTGGCTAAACTTAAGTCATCTAATTAGGCTTTTAGACAGATATTAATATGTTTTGGGGGTTTGTTTTAATGCTAGTTTATTGCTATGCTACCATATTAGATGTTAGCAAACATAATTAATCAGAAATCTAACATTAGCAAAGCTATGATTTTGAAGTGATTGATGTCTGTGGGGGGTTCCCCAAGCGGTCCTGCTCTGACACCGTCTGGGTTTACAGAGGAAGTTTTTGTTTGTTATAATTTTAGTAGTAGTTGTTTAATACTATTTAAAGGTTATTAAATGAAAACTAACTAATTGTCAGCAGGCTTTTATTTTTGTAACGCACCTGTACAGGTTCCTTGTTCCTGCCCAGGGTTCCGCTCTTATGGGACGAAGCAACATGAGCCAAATACTGGATGACCTTCTTGGTGTTCTCCGTTTTTCCGGCTCCGGACTCGCCTCTGCAGATCACAGCAACACAAAGCGACCGAGTGACCAACACACCGGCTACACAACACACATGTGGTGCCAGTTATGGACGATGAGTTCAAAGAGCACACAGGAGCCAAACGCAGCGCTGCAATAAAGGCCGAGCTCCCGCGGTGCGTTCAAGGCCTCGGGTCTAAACAGAAAGCAGGTGTGGAGGACGCGGCGCTGTTGCTTTTGGAGGAGAACGAAGGAGAGAGGAGTAAAAATAGAAGCTGAGGAAGACCTAAAAGGAGCAGACGCCACAAAAACACCGATTTAAGACCAAACTGAGGCGTCTGACAATGACAGGAAGTGGAGCAGGAAGACGAGGTGGCAGGTGGACGAATCACAACACAGGATTTAAAGCTCAGTTCTGACACGTTTAAAAACATCCACCAGAAGCAGTGAGTGAAGACGAGGATGTCAGGCTGGTGGCTGAACGCTGCACCTCCTGACTTCATGAAGATGTTTAGAAACCTGACCAGAGTGACCACACACATTTCACACGCAGCATCATACGGAAAAAATCATCGAAAGCTCATTTTATTTACTGTTGGACACGATAACGACCTCTTCCCCTAATTTGTTTGTTCCACATTTTGCTTCCTTAAAAACACAAATGTGTCGTTTGTACTTACGTGCAGAGAATCGACTGATCTTCTCGATCTGTGGAAGAGAAAAACAAACCAGGAGGTCAGAACCAGACAGAACCAAAAAACTAAACAAAAGCAACTAAACATGGTTCATTTCTGTTTTTAGGAGGCGTCTGTTTTGTTTTTTAATTAAACCAAACTCTTTATTTTAGTAAATTACCTTTTTTTTTATATATTTTTTTTTTATTTTTAAGAACATTTCTATGATTTTTTGCATATTTCTGTTATTTCTCATGTAATAAACTGTAGAATGAGATCATGTGCTTCCCGGCTGTAGAAGTTTTTAAATGTTCACTTCAGAATAAAAGCGGCTGTACGTTGTCTAAACGTTCTTTGACAGCTTTTCAACGTGTTTTTCTGGCATCCTGCTCCAGATTCTCACAGTCTCGTCTTTTAACACTTTGTTTTTTATGTTGGTGCAAAAACAATGAAATTAATAAAAAGCATTATGCAATTAAAAATGAATGAATAAATAAAAGTAATATTATACTTCTGTTAGATTATCGTCTGCTTTAAAACCAAACGTGGGGAAAAAGGTGCTCGACTGGGATTCAATTTGTTGTTTTCAATAAATATAATAAATACATTTTAGACTTTTGTCAAGCTGCATTTTTATTGGTTTGTTTTTGTTTTAAACGGAGAAAACTGAACGTCTCCGTCGTGCTGTTTGTAAATTCCTTCTTCAACGTTTCCAGACGGACACAGAGGAGCAGCTTCAGGACTGAATGATAAACTTTATGTTGTACCGACACCTCCACGTCCTGATGTTCTGACTCTTCTCGTGTGTGAGAGCCAATCAGAACGTCTTCTCTGATCATGACCAGTGAACAATAATCTGAGCGTCTCGCTGACGTCCGATTGGCTGAGCCGAGGCTGCAGGAGGCTCCGCCCACACCTCCGCCGTCTGAATGCAGATTTTATGAGTCGGCTAATGTTTAAATCTGTGCTGCGGCTCTGAGTCACTCGACTGGTCCTTCGAGCTGCCAAACCACAGAAAGGCTGCGACTCAAAGCCTCCACATTGTTTGCTGGTGTTTGGCTTTCAGATTCCCACGTCGGGGAGAATCCGTACTGGTCCTACTGGTTCCGTCTAACACACCTTCCCCGAGACAGAGCCTCGCCTGTGCTCTCAGGTAGACTCCCCGAGGCTCAGACGTTGCTCAACCCGGCCTTAACAGCTTCTGAACCTTTAAACCGTCGCTGGGAACTCTGGCAGCGGCACTAAAAACCTCCGTCACGCATTGTTGCCGTAACCTGCAGCTCACGTTTGTCACGAGGGGCGTCGCCCGGTAGCCTCCAGAAACGCCGTCTGTTTGCTTTAATGCGCTTTGATAAGCGAACCGCACCTCTCACCGGAGAGCAAAGAGCGCAGGTGGGCCGACGGGGGCGGGGTCACGGGTCAGAGGGCACAGGTACCTTGGAGCATGCTGCGGTACGCCGCCTCCGATATGGCGTAGATGTGAGGAGGCATCTCGTGGCGCTTCTTGCCTCGGTACATCTCCACGATGGACTCGGTGTAGATGGGCAGGTTCTTGTAGGGGTTCACCACCACACAGAACAAACCCGAATACGTCTGGAGACACACAAGCACAAAGAGATTCACACCTCAGAGCTCCACTTTGTCACGTCACACATGAACTCCAGCTGCTTCTGAAGCTGCTTCCTCACTCACTGGTTCTGAGCATCTAGAAGAAACATGAACAGAAGCTGCCTTCAGGCCTTCAGCACGAACCAGGAGGTCAAGAAGGTCACAGGTTGTTGTTTGGTTCAAAACCAAACGCAGAAAAAACGCTTCAGCTGTCAGCATGAAAATAAAAAAGCTCCTAACGTTCATACAAACGATGTGTTTACTGGATGTTTCTGTTATTCTTTAATTAACCTACAGGCTTGTTTTTATCATTGACTTCACAATAAACACATTAAAAACAAACATTTATTGCATTTAGAGTTCACAGACTAAAAGTTCTTTAATGTACTGAATTTAAAAAACATTTTCTTCAAACACTAGAACCTATAAAATATCAATCAGTATTTTTATATCTGTGTTTTCTACTCTTCTCTACACACAGATTAACTCAGGAATCAGTTTTATGCATCTGCATTGTTAAAAAATAAATAAAAAAGAGAAATATTCTTGCAGCTGGGATAAAAACTGACTTTAAACTCCGTCTGATCACAAACGTTACTGAATATCAGCCTTAAATCATTAAATGTCATTAAAATCACTTAAAAACTGGACAAAATGACCCAGATTCTGTAAAAAACTAAAAAATCTGCATTTCTTGTCACAACTGAACAGCCGACTCGACTGACTGGGACGTGAGCGACGGTCAGGTGACAGAAATCAGGGATTATTCAGCTGAACTGCAGGAAGCACATTTAAAATACAAAAAGTGGAAATATGTTGTGAACGTTGATTCTTTTAAATCGTTTCAATTTTTGTAAAATAAGTAATCAAAGAAATTAATATTTTTTCTTTTTATTGATTTCTTTATTTTGTTGTAAAATAAATAATCAATTTTTTTTCCCTTTTTATGAGTTTTAAAAATAATGTAAATTTTTTTGTAAAATAAATAAAGAAATTAATATTTTTTTCTTTTTTTATTATTTGTATTTTGTAAAATAAATAATAAAATATTTTTTCTTTTTAATGATTTCTATAATTTTTAGATTTTTTAAAGAAAAATCAAAAAATTATATTTTTTCTTTTTTATGATTTTTTTTTTTTTTTAAATGTAAAATTAATAATTTTCCTTCCTGTGATTTCTGTCGTTTCTCATTCTGTAGAGAGCATCAGTCCCCCTGATTCCATGTTTTATTCTCTGTATTGAGACTTTAAACAGTAACTCCTGTGAGTCCTGAGCTGCTGTGACTCATGTGAGTGTGTTTCTGTGGCGACGTCGTCCGGCTGCAGTAAAGTCCTGCCTGACACACACCTTTATCTTATCTGCTGCAGCGCTACGCCTCTCTGAGTTATTCCAACCATCCTCTGAATCACTCCTGCATCACTCAGCCCATCAGCAGGAATCATTTCTGTGACATGACTTTAATCCTGCGGCTGACTGTCTGCATGTTTCCATGACTGCTGTTTGGACTTTCTGCAGCAGGAACCCGACACGCCGCCACACATGAGCAGCTCTGTAAAGCGACTCCGGGCCGCCGGTGTCGGTTTCCCCGGCGGAGCCTCGGCGTCCACCGCGCTGAGTTCATGTGCACGGTGGACTCGTGTGCTGCTGCCGGACTCACGTAGATGAGGCCGGAGTAGTAGCGCTCCCGGAGGTTGTGCAGCACCGAGGCCTCGTTCAGGCAGGTCAGGTCGGCCATGTCCTCCACTTTGCTGAACCTCGGCGGGTTCATCCGCTGGACCTCCTCCCTGGACAGGGTCAGCTTCCGCTGGCTGTCCGTCAGCTCCACCTCCACCTCGTCGCCGCGCTCCTCACGGATGCTGGCCGACTGAAAACCACATGAAACGGAGGTCAGTAAGAGAAACAGCAGAGGAGGCAGCGGGTCCTAAACGTGGTCAGTGTTTCACCTGATGTCTGGAAAACACTGAAACACAACCTGGAAAAACAAACAAACACATCCTCCTGTTATGGTTCTGTTCATTTAGTTTATTCCCTTTTTGCACCGTCTGACAATGAATGACACATTCATGTCCATATTTATACTTCCTGTGTGTTTTATTCTTTATTTATCTCCTTCGTGTTGTTTCAGTGTGGACGGTCCCAACAGGTATGACTGTGTTTGTGACCAATAAAGGCCTCAATAAAAATCTTCTCTAACTTCTGCAAATCGACCAAATCTGACCTTAAACTGCTGATATTTAATCAGAACCACATTATTCTGCGCGTCTCATTTAAAAAGTTGCTTCAGATTCTGGAACAAACTAGAAATGTTCACAAAAATCAGAAGAATTTCAACGTTCAGACGGTCCTTGAACTGCTCATGGATGCTGATGTGATGATTCATGAAGACGACTTTAATTCTGCGTCTGACTGTAAACTGAAGCTTCAGCACTAAAATAGAAAAAAACTGTTTAATGTTCTGGCTCTTGAACACATCATGTGTAAGTCCTGGTTCTGATGTTAAAAATGTAAAATGTTTGTCCAGATGATGTGTTCAAGGACCATCGAGAAGTTGGAAATCTGACGAGTCTCTCTGCGTTGACAAACGATCACATGTTGGTCCAGATGTTTTCCTCGGTGGGTTTCAGGGTTCAGACGGTTAAACCCGGTTCTTGGACAGTAAACCAGCCGACCTACATTTAAAATAAAACACCTTTACTTGTTCTGTTTTCTGGTTTCCATCCTCTGACTGAGCACGCTGAGCAGAATTCTGTTTACAGGGTTTGAAAAGTACGTTATCTTTAAAAATAATGATAATAAATGACACAGTTCTTCAGCATAAACAGACCGAACTGGTAGAGGTTGCTTTCTGACGGTCCTTGAACGCATCATCCAGGACGTTTGGTTCCATCTAAACAAATTCACTTTATTCTACACGCTTTGTTTAAAAAACGCTAAAAAAGAAAAAACAGAGAAGTGGTGGAGGTGAGACAAACGGGGACAAGAACTCTGGTTTCTGGTCTAGTTCTAGTCCAGTAGGACATCCAGGATTCGTTACAGCTTTGTGAAGTAAATCTCATTCATTCTTTCTTCTCTCTGGGTTCCTGCTGACAGGAGGCGTCTCTGAGCTCCTCCTCCATGTGGTTCTGGTTCCTCAGAGCTGCAGGACTTTATGTTGGACCTCAGTGAAGATAAACGAGACAGAAGCTTTGGGTTTGACGGGGACGTTTGTGTGACTGGTTTCCATGACTTCTAATCCCAGTAAATGATTAGCTGGAGAGCTCAGGTGTGTCAGACAGGTGAGGCCCAGCCGCAGGGCGTGTGCGTCTCTCTGTTTATTATGTTTTATGACGTTTTGGTCCCGATTAAGGAGCTTTATTCTCGACACCTCGTGATGCTCTTTGACACATCCGGACCCGGTGAGAGTCACACGTCCGGCGCCGTGCGGTCCATCGGTTCCGGTGCGTCTGAGGCTCGGTACAGAGAGCACACTGTGGGACGTCTCTGCTGGACTGGTTTCATAAAGAGTCTATGAATAGAACAATACACTCCTTCAGCCTCCTCAAGTTAAAGAGGCAGCGGCTTCATCGTGATCCGAGTCTGCAGAACAGACCGTCTGAGCCTGAGCTGACTAACGGGCTGAACACGCCGCATGGACTCGTGCACACAGAAGCATGTTGTTCACGTCGGGCAGCACAGAGAATGAGGAGAACGTCCTGACTTCCTGTCCGACGAGCACAAAAGAGGTCGACTGTCTGCAGGCCGCTCAGCGTCTCTGCTCCCATGTCCACAGCGGTTCTGCTTTATTATCAATGTGGGTCGGCCGGTTCGCTGCGGAGATCAGAGGCTTGTTTGTTTTCATGTAATAAAGTCACCACAACGACTCGTTAATCAGCCAGAACGCTGCGAACACGGGAAGAATCGGTCCAACGTTCAGACAGTCGATGGCTGTTATTAACCAAACCTGATCTGATCAATCACCAGACGACACATTCACATGTCGGCCAGAACCAGAGTGTTTGTAACCGGGTCTCACTTTAACGAAACCAGGACGGACTCAACTGTGACCAGCAGTCAGGTCACAACAAATCACCTCATGTTCCTTCACCGAGGTTCATGTTTCTCTGCAGCTCTGTGGAACCAGAACATGAAGAAGGAGGAGCAAGAACTCAGAGACGCCTTCTGTCAGAATGATGGAGACCAGAGACAAGAAGTCCAATTTCTTTGATTATTAGTTTTACAAAACGTTAAACAGCTGGAAGCATCATGTCCATCACACGTTGTCTCCTCACCATGAAGACATTGAACTCTTCAGTTGAACAGTTTTGTCTCCTTTCTGTTGTTTTGCATCTTAGTTTTCTCATTTTGCGCTTCAATTTTCTTGTCTTGAGTCATTCGATGTCTCAATTTTTGCAGTTTTGTCTCTTTGTGGTTGTTTTCCTTCCACACACTGAACTACCTCCATGTCTCCAGATGTTTCCTGTCTGCTCATCAGCTGTAGACAGATGTTCCACCATCAGTAGACAGATGTTCCACCATCAGCTGAACGTATCTCCACCAACTGGCTCCTCTGTTCTCTGGTTCTGATCCAGTAGGTTGGATTTTCTCTCAGCCTCTCAGAGGAAACACTGGCTGCAGTTCAACCTGAACACTCCTTGAATTTCTGTCCCGTAGCGGTCGGTCTGAGCCGAGTCAGTCGTGGAGGTCCAGTTGAGTCGAGGAGCTCAGAATCTTTTTAATGCAAACCGCTGATTTTTGTCATATTTTTGAATGAGACACGTAGAATAAAGTGATTTTGGTTTTAGTTCATTTTTGACAGAACTAGAAGTCACACGTGTTGTTTCAGGTGCAGACGTGTTGTTTTTGTCTAATTTTGAATGAGACACGTGGAATGAAGTGCTTTTGATGAACTATCAGGATTTTAAGCTTCATTTTGGTTAATTTCACAGATGAGTAGTTCAAGGACCAACAGAAAGTTGGAAATGTGACAACTCTCTAATCTTGGCAGTCCTTTAAAGACGACGTGCCTTTAGATCTGCTGCAGGGTTTTGTGGTTTACAGATGAAACACTCATGAAAACAAGTCGTACAAATAAACTGCATGAGACGTGTTTGTTCTCTTTACGTTCTGTAAATGTTTGTGGTGAACCAGAAGCCTATCAAAGCAAACAGAAGCTCACCTCGAAGCCGTGCTTCTCCGACGGCACCCACACCAGCCTCTTGGCGGCCCAGTCGGCCTGGCTGGCGGCAGAGAACACCGCGGAGCCGGAGGTGGGCGACCCCGGCCCCGCCCCCGACGACAGGAAGCGGGTGACATCGTTGGCGCCGCCCCCCGATGGCCTGGACATGGTACTGCTGGCACTGCGGAGGAGAGACAAACTGGGTTAAAACTGATGTGATTCTGTGTCAGCGCCACGTTTACAGGACGAACACGTGAGCAGCACGAAGGCCAGCGGTGGCCTAGTTCACAGACAAACGCAGGAGAAGGCAGGAGCGAAGCGAAGACGAGGATCATCACCATCGACTGGCTGAGCTGACATGACAGCGAAGGGGGAGGACGAGATAACGAGAGTCTGAAGGTTTGTTCTACCTCCAACCATCAGAGGTCTTCTGCTCAGCTTAAAACTCGACCATCACACAATACGGACATGTAATGTGAGAGTTTAGCTTCTTTTGTTAAATGTTTTCTGAGATAAAATCTGCCGGTCGACCCACGTTCAGCAGCTTTATTCTCCCATTAACTATGACAAATAATAAAAAGTTCCATCTTTGAGTTCATCAATAAAAAGTGAACTCGTGATGGAGCTGCAGGTCACAGTAATGCAAACATTAGAACACTTTAAAATGAAAAATACAAATATGAGGTTTTTGTTCATGTGCTCAAAGATGAGACTGTTTATTATTATTTCATATGTTTGTTAATAACTTCATCATCTCAGACAGTATTTGACGTGTGAAGCTGAACCTGCACACACATCTTTATAAACGTCCATATTTTAAGCAGTAAAGCTTCCCGGCTGAGCAGAAACCGTCCTGAGACCGGGATGATGTGACCCGGTTGAAGCTTCCTGCTCCTTCAGACTCAGCAGAGATTGAAGCCCAGAGAGACTCGCTGCAGCCAGAGTGCTGATTCGCCTGAAGGCTGGACGTGCTGTCAGAGACGAGGCGCTAAGAGTGGCTGCAGCTCTGAAACAAAGGCGACGCCAAGTCACTCTGACATCCAGGAGTCACGAGCAGCCGAGCGAGGAAAGTTCAGGAAGAAGAGCAGAACTTGTGACTGGAGCTGCAACGAATGAAAGAAGAACCTCAGAGTGGGTCAACGTGTCGACTGCTTCCTGCATCCATCCATCAGCTGTTTGGTCTCTACAGGGTCAGAAACTGGTGAAACCGCTTCACAAAGATCCAAGATGGCGTCCGTAGAGGCCCAAACAGAAACGTTTCCTCATGACGGGGCAGTTTTCTAAAAGCTGTGACCTTTCGGTAATACTACAGCTGCAACTAACCGTTATCAATCATTATCTCCACTAATCGATCAGTCTCTAACATCTCAGTTCAGTTTCCCATCGAATGATCGATTATCAGAATGCTTCGTGTAATATTTGACAACTAATCGATTCATATTTGAAGCTCTAATTTTGAAAATCAGGGATATATGAAGATCTTTTAGCATCAAACTGTGTTTTTCCTGAATCCTGGTGAACGTTTGTGCACCAACGTGTTCCTTTTCTGCATCAATTTAAGGCAGAAATGTCTTTATTGAAAAGGAACATGCAAAACTTTAGGAATATGACTGAAAACATGTGGATTTAATTGGATTTTACAGGAGCTTCAGTGACTGTTTCAGCTTGAAATCAATATTTTTAAAGCAAAAAAAGCCCCAGAGCTGAAAAACGAGCCGGACCTGCTCTGGTTTGAGGCATTTTTAGGTCTGTTTTAAAACATTTTTTTGGTCTTTGAGCAACAAACGAGGAGTTTCCTGCATTTTTGTTCCTTTTCTGCATCAATTTTGGGGGAGATGTCGGAAAACACTAAATTTACCAACCAGGTGAGGAAAATATGTGGATCTAAGGGCAGTTTTTACAACAGATCCAGCGGCTGTAAGAGATGTAAGCGGCTGAATGATGAGTCGGTTGGTCAGAACTGATTCTGATGATCGGTGAAGCAACGTGTCGACGCAAAACGTGAGTAACAGGATGAAACCAGCCTGAAGGCAGCGCTGGTCTGCAGCCTTTTAGCTCTCAGGTATGTCATCAGCAGGTATGTCATCAGCAGGTATGTCATCAGGCCTGATTCCTGCATGTCACTCGGAGCTTTCCACGCTCGCCGTGTCGGTCTGTTACCTGCTGCTGCGACTCGGCTCAGGGTGTGGAGGCGACATGCTGACAAAAGAGCCGCCGACACCCAGACAGTCATTACGGAAAGTATGTGATCCTCAGTTGCACCAAACAGCTGAGCATCTCCTAATAAAGTCTGTAAACACACGGTCGTACTGTACATTAGTCCACGGGCGCATCTTCAGGGTGCAGCTTCAGACAAACATCAGCTCAACAGAAATCAGCCAATCCTTTGTGCACCAGAGTGAACATTAACCTCAGCAGGACACGCCCGCCGCTGCAGGCCCGCCGTGAGCTCACAGGTCTCCATCGATTACACCACTAATCAGAGCATTTCCAGCTAAAAAAATCAGTTAATTTAAGTTCATTTCAGTTTGACAAAGTGTGAAACTGAAGACGCAAAACTGGAGTTCAACTAAAAACGGCTGAATGTGGACTTAAACAAAGCATTCAAAGGCCCATTTAGACACGTAAAGGGCTCGTTGGTGCAGAAGACATGCTACAGATTAGCCGATTAGTTCTCTTGTTTGTTATTTTTTAAATCAGTTTCCAGTCTAACGTGACAGTTTTGCCCTTTAATACGTTAACTTTTGCTTCTGTTTGGTGCTGAGCTGCTGCATACGGTCACATGCAGTCGGTCAGACTAGAAGAAAACAGACATTTTTCTTTTTTGGAGGAAGATTCAAATGTTCTGCTCCAACTCAGAGCGCCGTGGTGTTTCTGTGGGGACACCATCACTACATCCTGGGCTGAGCTCCGCCCAGGACTGTCCTGAGCTCCGCCCAGGACTGTCCTGAGCTCCGCCCAGGACTGTCCTGATTGGTCCACGCCTGAGCTGCGTCTTCCTTCCTACAGCAGAATGAGGTGCAGCTGACGGTTAAACACAGCGCTGTGCAGAATGGTCCGACTGCAGAGAACATATCACATGTTCTCCAAGGTTCTCTGACATCGTGGGTGTAAACTGGACACAGGCTCAGCTTCTGCTTATTGGACTCGACGCTACAATGTACAGATGTTCCCTAATCACCTCGCGTGCAGGCTAAGCTACATGCTAAGCTACATGCTAACTGTGGTTCGCTCAGACAGGTGTGACACAAAAAATGAGTTGGAAAATTATAGAAGAAAGTGTTCTAGTGTCAGACTTTGCTTGAGCAGAGCACAGTTGATACTTTTCACTGTTCAGTTTAATTTTGCAGCCGCTGGACTGAATGTCGACTCGGTTTCTCTCTGACACTGTTGGACCGCCTTCTCTCCACCAGACTCCTCCTCCTCATTTGGTTTTTTTTTTTTTTTAAATGATCAGCCGCAGATGTTTTATCATTTGAACACTGTTTCACTGATCAGAGTCTGAACCAGGAACAGAATTGAACGCTGCAGCTGCAACACGAGTCGTCCTATTGATCAACCTGCAGCTGCACTAATGCGACCGCTTGACTTATTAATTTGCACCATCAATAAAGGCATGTAAACTCATCCATCCATCATCTCTACACCTTCATCCTCACCAGGGTCATGGGGGGCGGAGCATATCCCAGCTGACTCAGGGTGAAGGCAGGTTCACCTGGACAGGTAACCAGTCTATCACAGGGCTACACTTAGAGACAGACAACCAAGCACACTCACATTCACACCTACGGACAATTTACAATCACCAATTAACCTCAGCATGTTTCTGGACTGTGGGAGGAAGCCGCCTGCAGCTCCTATGTGCATCTAGATTTTTTACATTTTAACTCGCCCAATATCAAACAATGGTTGCATGTGCATCTTTTTTTTTTTTTTTCCATATGTTTTGTGAAAAATTGTAAATCGCACACTGGAAAGAACTGGTTGCATCTTTTTTTTAATTATTGCAAGCATTTTTTAAAAGAAATTCTACCTCAACTCAGTCAGAAAGAGTTTGTAAATGCAACAATTCACTTTTTACATTTTTAAGCCACACATTGTCGCACCTGCAACCATTTTTCAACCTTTTTTCTGAACCGGCTGGATGTTTCTGACGTTTAAAATGTGATCTGCTCACAGGAACCAGCCCATGGAGAGGAACTCACACGGTCCTCCATCAAGTCTTTGGTCTCACATCTGTCTGGGTGGACTGCAGCTATCTGGCTAGCATGTAGCTTAGCCTGCACATGAGGCGTTTAGGGAGCGTCAGTAAATTGTAGCGTCCATCAATTATGTTCAGTGACTGAGCCTGTGTCCAGTTTGCAGCAGTGATATCAGAGAGAAGAATCAAAATGAAGCTGTTTTCAGGTTTGAAGTTGGTCTGGAGGCCTGAGCAGTCAGACCATCTCCACGGCGTAGAGGGTCTGCTGCAGCATCAGGCCCCCAAACCAGGAGCCAACATCTATCATATATGTACAGATTCAACAACATGGGATCTAGTTTTAGCTTTGAACAGTCAGTGTCGGCCCCACAAACCCAGAATGAGTCAGAGTCCGATAAAAATATACATCAATACCTGCCCAAATGTCAGAATCAGTTCTCCTGCCAGGTGGGTTTCACATGAGAGCAGCTGAACACAATCATTTGGTGCATTACAGTGAATGCAGGACAGTCCACAGAACAAAGCCGTGAACCCGGTCAGCACCACGAAGCAAGCTGGACCACTGGAGCCAGATGTGCAGCTCTGAGGTGTGAAGCAGGTGAAGATGGAACCTGAAAGCATCACGAGCTGATTTATTCCCTCAGAACCGAACAATGTCCTGCATCAGCTCCATCACATCAGCTGCTGTGTGTCTGCAGAGTCCTACACACACACACACACACACACACACACACACACACACACACACACACACACACACTGTCGCAGTACAGCCTGGACGGAACCACAGAACCGGTCCTGCAGCAGCTGCCAGACCTGCCGGTGTCCTCCATAGCAACACGGAGCAGACAATACCGGCTGAGGTCACCCACTGCGGGGGTCGCTGGTCCGACCCGGTGGTAGCGGGTCCGGTGGAGGCTGCGGGTCCGGTACCGCCTCTGGTGCGGCTCCGGGATGACCGTGAGCGTGTCGGTGTCACGATGGAGCCGCAGCACCGAGCCGCAGTGACCCCAGAACCACCACCGGAGAACCACACCTTGAACGCACCACACGAACACCCATCAGGCCTTTAAATGCCTCACCACCAGAACCCTGACAGCACCGCCACCGCCAGAACCTCCCGGGCCCGGAGCTGCCGGGTAAATGCAGGATCACGGAGCCGCCCGTTCACACCGGAGCTCGTTTCTCCGAAGCGGCTCCTCGTACAAAGCTCAGCCCGACATGAAGCGTCCAGAGCCGCCGCTGCTGCCGGAGACGGCGGCGGCAGCTTAGCGAGCCCCGCGGACACACGAGCCGTCCGGTCCGAGCGGCTGTTTACCGGCTGGATTAGAGGTAAGTAACCGTCTCACCTTGCGGCGGCTCGGGGCTGTGTTAAGGCTGCGGGCTGCGGAGCTCCGGGCTCAGGCTGCTGCTCGGCTCGGGTCCTGCCTGGTAGGTGTGGAGCCTCCCGCATATGCGGCTTTTATCATCGCAGCGCCGCCGTGGAGCCGCACACTGTCGGAGCCGGAGAGCACTGAGGGCACGGCGGCGGCTTCAGCCCCGGAGACGCTGCTTCCTGCCGGGGGACCAACCAGGCGCCGCCGGTCGAGTGTCACAGCGGCACTGGTCCAATCACAATCCAAAACCGAGCTGAAGACCCGCCCCTCCGACACCCCGGCGGCTGTCCGCCCTGAAACGGGCAGCGAACCTCTGCGGAGACGAATCACATCAGCGGCAGCTCGGACAGCTCCGCTATGAGCCAATAGAAAGCTGCAGGAGGCGGGGCTTGCCGTGATTGACGTGGAAAACAGCCAATCAGGGCGCTGCAGCAGGTGCCGTGCGGCGCTGTCGCGCTACAGCAGGAGATTTGCGCGCTCTTTGTTTACCGCTGAGCGGCGGCGGCTCCGCAGACACCGAGCGAACACCGGGTCCGTTTGATTCGACCTCCGGACTCTACCGGACTGACTCGCACCAGCCCAGAACCGCCTCCTGAACCGAGACCAGAGGCAGCGGCAGCCCGGTCCGCTGG